TTGAACCTGAACCCAGTTCTCGGATGATGTCCTAACAACTATATAATGCCGGATGTCTTCTGCACATCTTGGAGAACAGCATCACAGAAGAGAGACAGACAGACAGACAGACAGACAGACAGAGAGAGAGAGAGAGAGAGAGAGAGAGAGAGAGAGAGAGAGAACAAAGAAAAAGGAACAGAAATCTTTTTAAAAAGTTTATTGCCACTTTTAAAAATATCACATGACCTAGATAGCCCAGGCAAGCCGGATCTTGTCAGATCTTGGAAGCTAAGCAGGGTTGCCTCCGGCATGTACTGGGATGGGAGACCTCCTTGGAATACCAGCAGTTGGGAGGCGGGGGCAGGCTTTACTCAGCCACCTCTCTGAATATCCTCCAGGCCCCCAGTAGGGGTCAGTCACCAGAGGTCGCCAGGACTTCCAGATGTGTGCACACACTCACATATGAAAAAACCACAAAAAATGTCCCACATAGAACACTTACTGTCGAACAGCCTCTCCTTGCCATGAACACCCCTCCACTTAGCCCTAAAGAGGGAAAGAAAATTTTAAAAGGATATTTTTAAAGTGGGGGGGGGGGAAGGGAATGATGAAAAGGGAGGGAGCCAAATAACAATGAAGACAAAAGAGGGGAGAGGATGAAAGTGAGATTTATCCCAGCACTTACAACTATCTATCATGTTTCATTAAAAGTTTTCAAAATTCAGCCCAAACGCAATTTAGTTGCATTCTTGCAGCCATCGATTAGTGCTATTCTTTCCAGCACTGCTAAATCCAATCATCCAGGGGTTCCCAAACTGTTTGAGCCAGCAGGAACCTTTGGAATTTTAAGAGGGGTTGTTGAGCCCCACCCTAAAATGGCTGCAGGGGGTGAATCCAGGCCCCAAATCGCTGCCACAGGAAGTACCTCCCTCCTCCCTTTGCAAAAGAATCACAGAAGGGAAATAAAAACAAAGGAAGGGTGGCCTGAAGGGGGAGGGAGGAAGAGATCGGGAAATAAAAAGAAACAAAGGAAATCCTGGGAGGAGAGGAAGGGAGAAAGAGAAGGGGAAACAAAAATGAAGGAAAGACTGAAGGAAGTGTTGCAAGTGGAGGAGTGTACATTGTCCTCTGCCTCCGCCCTCAGAGAGACAGCACTATAGATTTAAAGACAAATAGAGAGGCCACGACACACAGAGCATCCTTTCCTTCCTACTGTCTGATACTATCCTTTGAAGCAGAATGCTAATCTTAGGGACAAGACTTCCTTCCTTCCAGCTTAACACATCTCTCTCACACACACACAAAGAAGGAGCACAGGCTCTCCATCTTTGCCACCAGGGATGCAAGACAGGCATTCTGTCCGCATCCATCTAGCTAGTTAGATAAGATTCAATTACTATCTCTCCACCTGCACTATCTAGAACGTAGTTCCTTGAATAAAGAATTTTTGTTAGTTTGAAACTGACAAGTGGCTCCGTGTAATTCTGTAACCTTGCTAGCACACACAATACTCAGAAGCTACTACTGCATGTAGCCTAGTGCACTCTGCAATGTCTAGAGATTCCAGGCTGTACCATGCCAGTGAATCTAACAGGAAAAGTCAATGGAACCACATGCCCAGATGTTTACTGGTTCTCCTGAACTTCCAGTGGCTGCTAACGTAGCTGTGAAAAATGCATTCATTCGTTTGAATGAAGGCAGCCCTGCCTTACAATGGCCCAACCTGGTTTGTGGGTGCCATGGTGAAGAAGAAGAAGAAGAAGAAGAGATTGGATTTATACCCCACTCTTCACTTGGAGTCTCAGAGCGGCTTACAAACTCCTTTCCCTTCCCCTCCCCACAACAGACTCATAAGATGTATGACGGGGTCCTTCCAGGTGAAGCACATCTCCAGCCATGGTTATCTTCCATAAGACCCAGCCCGGGAAACCTGCCTGGACTGAAAAAAGCTCAAAGGGGTTTTTTTTGTTAAAAAAAAAGCCAACAACTTGGGGGTGTATTTTGCTGTGTCAGGTCTAAAGATGGCCACATGGTAACTTTTCAACCAAAATGCCACTACAGGGCATGGAGTTGCAAGACTGCTTACTCATTGCATTTCATCTGCAGCTCATTGATTGCAAGTTGCAAATCTGAGCAGAGGGGGGAATATAAAAATTTCACTGCTTGCAGAAACAGCTCTATTGAATGTTAAAATGATGATACATCCAGGGGTTCCAGTGCAGATAACGAATGAATGCATCAGGACCCAAAAATCCCAAAGGCAGCATTTTCATAACAGCTCTTGCCAAAATGCTGATGGGGACAGATGAGATTCCCCCTGAAGGGTTTAAAATCTGTCACTGCTGCTCAGTGATAACTGAGTTAACAGCATTTTGTCTGGGCAAGTGAAACCACAATCATTAGGAATACCTTAAGGTTGGAAGGGTTGCACTCACAGTCTAAGGTCTTCCGAAGAACATGGGCCAAAGTCTAGATATGAAGCCACGGCCCTCCATGCTGTTTAAGCAGTTGTGTACATAAGACAGGGGTCACTCCCCACCATTTTGAGTCTGCGGACACATTTGGAATTATGGCACGGCATGGTGGGTGCAACAAAAGAAGAAAAGAGATTGGATTTATACCCTGCCCTTCACTACCCAAGAGTCTCAGAGCGGCTTGCCATCTCCTTTCCCTCCCCCTCCCCACAACAGACACCCTATGAGGTAGATGGGGCTGAGAGAACTCTGACAGAAACTGCTCTTTTTCAGGAACAGCTGTGCCCAAGGTCATCCAGCAGGTGCAAGTGGAGGAGTGGGGAATCAAACCCGGTTCTCCCAGATTACAGCCCGTGCTCCTAACCACTGCACCTAACTGACTACACCAAAACAGCTGCTGCAGGAGGCAAAGCCAGCCACAAAATGATTGCCACAGTTTACATTCAGTAACACAGTGCAGATCCTTTTGCTATGGTGGCAACCGCTGCCAAAGCAGCATTTTAAAAAATCTGCACACCCAAACAAATCTCCAATGATCGATCAGAAACCTTGCTGGGCAAAAGCCCCACCCACTTCCACAGAACCCTTCACAGGCACCAGGAAAGGTCTTGGTGGGTGTCACAGCGCCAAGACACCATGATGTTGGGAACCCCTAGTGTTTTCCAGCTTTAAAAAGGTAAAGGTTCCCTTGCTCGAAAGCCAGTCGAATCCGACTCTAGGGTTGCGGTGCTCATCTCCGTTTCAAAGCCGAAGAGCTGTAACGCTGTTACCTTCCAGCTTTATAGGAGGTTAATTTCTTGCATTTCCAGTCCAGCCCATGCAGGCCATTCCTAATACCAGCATCTTGCCTGCGTCATTAGATAAGCACTGCAGTGCATTATGAGATTGCAGAAAATCTGCCCTCCAAGAGTTCCAGTTTTTCCTACACTATATGTGGTATTTTATGTGGTATTTTACACTATATGTGGTATTTTACACTATATGTGGTATTTTACACTATATGTGGTATTTTACACTATATGTGGTATTTTACACTATATGTGGTATTTTACACTATATGTGGTATTTTACACTATATGTGGTATTTTACCCATTTCCCATATAAAGGTACAAAATGTGCTGTCTAGAGGGCAAATAGATTTCTGCAGAATACAAACTGGAAGCTCCTGGTGACATGGATTACAAAAAGTCAATCTAGAAACCGGAACAGCTCCTGTATCCAGGAAGGAAAACTGCCCATTTATGCAATTTCCACAAGTGTGCAGCTAGATTCTGGTCCACTAGTCCCTCAGAGTCTATCAAAATTTTCAGGGTGGAAGCTTTCAAAAATCAAAACTACCTTCATCAGACCATGTATGTACATAGACAGAAACATGCGCTCAGCTCAGTATTGTAAACAATGCAGGTGTAGCTCACTGAAGGCAGAGGGGGTGTCTCAAGCACTGTTCCCTCTAAGCTGAGCTAGTGCGAGCTAGCTCACAGTTTTTTAGCCTCTGTCTCACACATTTTTGTCTTCGCTCAGGAAGGATGGCTCCAGAGCAAACTAATTTATGCAGCAGCCAAATTGCTCACTCACAACTTTCATGCCAACAGCTCACAAGGTAGAATGTTTGCTCACAAGACTCCACAGCTTAGAGAGAGCATTGGTCTCAAGTGCTTCCAGCATGCCCTTTCTTTTGATTCAGTCTCACAGAAAGACATGGGCATATCTGCCAGCCCTCACTGTTGACGGGCAGAGCTGTGCCATTGCAGATTCCATGAGGGGACACTTATGTTTTTAATGCTCCATGTAAAAAACTGCCCATAAATTAGCAACATTGGGAGGGGGTGTGTCCTTCTGCCTGCTAATTTCCCGCTTAGAAGAAATGATTTAATGTAAGGGAACTATGAAGCATATAATCCTTCCCCTGCAGTCTGAAGGGATACAGTCCACTTGATCACCTCTGTACTCTTCCACCTCATTCTGCCTCCTGTCTGGACTGGGTATACAGGTGATGTCATCTGTTTGGCTGCTGTTGATTGGAGGTTAGTAGTCAACTGATCGGGTTTCTTTTCTGTCACCTTCCTAAGCAAAGCAGCAGGAGGGACTCCTTTACAGCTGTCATCTAGGGAGTGCAGGGCAAAAGGGGACAGTTGGGAGGGCTTTCCCTCTTGTACAGAATTAGGTGTCCTCTCTGATTTCGATCACCTCCATCTCCCCCCCCCCAACCAATCCATCCCAACCTCCAAGTTACTGAATGGCATTCCAAGTCAGATCTCCTCTCCTTCATAAACACTCCCTATTTTAAACCGTTTCCCCCTCCAGCCCTATACATTAATGCATACCTATCCCTGCCTATCTTCCATATCTACTTGCACACTCATTTCCAGCCACAAACCTGTACCCATCTTGTTTCTCAAATTTCCCCTCCTTCAGCCTTTTTTCTTATCCCCCCCCCCGTGTTCTTATCCCAACAGCCTTCCAGGATATTCATGGTGGGAGGGCCACACACACACACACACACGTTTTAGGAAAGACATTTCTGAAACGTTTTCCAACACTGACCGATAATTTTATTTCTTTTTTTTAAACAATAAAACAAAGAGCTGTGGCTCTGAGCAAAACTGAATCACAAAAGAAGAGTTGTCTTTTCAAGGTTTACTAACAGCATTGCAAAGTAAGGCTTCCCAAAAGGGGGTTTATCAAAATAAATTATCTTTGCCTAAATACTTACACAATTTATATATATTTGCCTTCAAATACCCTAAAAACCTGCAATAAAAAGGTATCCCCCCCCCCAGTAATTTCCTTTAACACCACTGGGCACCTTCTGAAGAACAGTGATATTCCTACTCCTCAAACACTTTGAATTACCCGACAGCCATTTACATAATCTAGAACCAGAGGCTTCCAACAGACCCACCAGAGCTTTGTAATACTATAGAGAAAAGTCTGACCACACCTACCCGAAAAATGTCTAGTAGCCCTCAACTGTCTCTAGTTTGCAAATCTGATTAAACTCACAAGCGTATTATTGCAAAATGCAAGATTTAAAAAAATAGATCCTTTTGCACCCTCCCATCCTCTGAAAAACCGCCGCCCCCTTTGAGGATGCTGGCTGCTCTGCAGACGGCCTTCCAGAACAGACTTCAACACTCTCATCGCTGTTGATCTGCTTTACTGACAGTGCTGAATTAAGCATTAAGCAGCCTCGTACTGTGATGAAATGCATAGGGGGACAAAAAACGGCCTCCTGCACAAGGCCTTCAGCAATGTTTTAAAAAAAGGAACACTGTCCATCTTGGAATCAAGAAGAGTTTAACACTTCATTTACCACCACGCTAAAACTTAAACTCAACATCATCCGCTCTAAAGGGGATGTCTTCCCCTGCAGAAGGCAGGATGGATTTGCTTCGTCTCTGCGCTCCAGTGCGTAGAAATGCCACCTTCATCTAAAGGGGTCTGGCAAAGACCTACATATCATTTTTTTAAAAAACTCATTGATGAGACGCACGACGGCTTGGCGGTGATGCCTGCTTGCCAAGGAGAGAATACTTTGTCAATACTTCTTTTCTCACTTATTCCACTTCCCTCTGGGAAGAGTTCAAGTGGAACGTAACTGGCAAGCAGCTGAATGGACATGGCACTCCTTCAGCTGACATCCCCTGCAACTTATGTTAAGCAGCAGTCCATGACCAAGGCTTTAAGGGCTGCCCCCCCCTTTTTTTGCAAAGGAGGCATAATTGTCACACTTTAAAAAAAACAACAACCAAAAGACCCCATAAAGGTTAATTTGTCAGCTGTTCAAACACTTATTAGATATCACATGCTTTGTACAGTGAAGATGCAGCCTGCTCACTCATCCTCAGCACAGCTAGCTGAGCTCTGAAGAGACCCTTCCCTCAGCAAACAGGGAGAGCGCAGGATGGTTTCGTGTCACTTGTATGGAAGAGAAGACACAGGACAGAACGGGGGAGTGTTAGGACGGGTGCTGCTTCTGAAGTCTTCGTTCCGCTGCGGCAGCCAACATTCTGCGGCGCAAGGTGATGGGGTCGGAATTAGCTCCTTCGGCCTGCTGGGGGATGTCGAAGGCCATCTCGTCTGAAGTTTTGTTGAGGTAACGCCTGGGAGGAGGATTATTATACAGGAGGTAAAGCCAAAATAGAACAAAAGCAGACCGACAACAACAGAAGGGTTCACTCTGGTGACAGAGGTTCTTGGCTTGTATTCAACACTTCCCCTTAAGAAGAGTCAAGATATATTTATGGCTGTATGCCCTTCCACATATGTAAAGAAAATTAAAATTTGAAATTCCAGGGCCATGAAATTCAAAGCCTGCCCCAGGAAAATGTGAACGCTGGAATCTACAATTAATTATGAAACGTACATGATTTGGTTAGTAATTTTTACTATTTTGCACAATTTATTCAGGTCCTGACAGCCAGAGAGCAGCTAGGAGCCACGCGGTGCTCAAAATCCCAGTCCTCAAGAACAGCACATGCTGCCTGCATTTCTGTACCATTACATTCTTTCTCTCACACTGCACAATGGACATTTATGTCCTTGTCCACAAGAGGGAGGCAAGTCACAGTGGCAGTCTAAGACATCACAGAGGACCAGAATGCTTCAAAGCAATTCACTAGATCTGAGACAGACACCGATGTAACCCAGGCAGTTGCTGGATTGGTGCTCCCCTGGCAAGAAAATACACTCTTGCTGCTGCTCATGGAGTTATGAAATAAACATTTCCTTTACCCCATACAGATAGGTCTGCACCTTTGAAAGATGATTGGAGGGGACTTTCAATTTATCAGAAAAACCTCAGCTACAATTTCTAAGAGAAAACAGGACATGAGAGATACACACCTGCGGGCTTGATGCAAAAGGTCTTCCTTCCTCTGCACTAACATCCGCTGCCTTTCATCAGCCGACTTAGAAAAACGGCTCCCTCTTACTTCAAAGTCTTCTGTCTCGGCCGAGTCTATTTCCATCTCATTGAACTCTGCCATTTCTTCCAGCTGTGAATTAAGTTCCAGAGGGACTCTCTCAGTCTGCCATGCAGAAGAAAATGAAGGGGGGGGGAGAGGAATTCACACACTTCTTCATAATCCTAGGTCTCTTAACAAGAAGAATTGTTGTTTACATGGTGCAGGGTGACCAGACACACACTTATCTTGGTCCTACCTGTATGAGGAAGCAAGAGCCCTCTTTAAAACCCCACATATCTGTCTTTCTGTTCTACCACTTGAGGTCACTGGATGTCCATGCATGGACATAAAGTTCTAAAAGCAGACAGTATCATACTAGGTTCAAACCTGCACTCAACTGGTGACCCTGGCCAATCACTGGATCTCTGCCTAACTTACCACACAAGATTTTTGCAAGGACAAAATGGGTGTGGGGTGGAGAATCATGTACAGCACTTTAAGCTCCTTGAATAATAGGCAAAATAGGAATGTAAAAATATATGATGTTCGGGAAGTATTGCTTCCCCAGATCATGTGGCCAATTCCAGTTTATCGGGGATACTGACTTTGCTCATTCAGACTTTTGCCTATTTCACACATGTAAACCCTGGATGGCGCAGGCTAACCTGATCTTGTCAGATCTCGGAAGCTAAGCAGGTTCAGTCTTGGTTAGTACTTGGATGGGAGACCACCAAGAAAGTCTGGGGTTGCTGTGCAGAGTCAGACAATGGCAAACCACCTCTGAACACCTCTTGCCTTGAAAACCCTACACGGTTGCCGTAAGTCGGCTGCAATTTGACAGCACTTTCTGCCACCATCCTGATTAAATATTATGTACACATGTGGTTAATCTAGTGGGTCAGACACACCCAATGAGTAAGAAGGTGCAATCTTGCTCCCCCTACTGTGTTGGTGTCAGCTATGCTGCCATGAAAGTTGGGGAGGTTGGTCTATTTCTTTCCTTTCAGGTTAATGGCTACTGCATTCCTTTCTGTGCTTTTTCTGCTGTGCGCCGAAACACTTATCTATACAGTTGTGCAGGAGGGTGTTGTAGTGTCTGGGATTTCATTAGGTGTTGTGGGAGAGTGTTCGTTCTCAGCTTCAGCTACCTAACGGTCTCTGAGCCTTAACCCGCACGCGGGAGGCCGCCTAATTGGCCAGTACTGGGGGGGGTGCATACGAGTACCCTATATCCTATTATGCCCATGGGGCCGCCGCCGTTCTTAACAGTGCCTATGTTTCTGCATCTATAGCTCTGCAATAAAAGTATAACCATTCCTGAATGCGTGTACTTCGTTGATGGCTGTGGGTTCTGACAGTTAGTCAATGACCATGAATAAAACTTATCTGCTCCCCCTACTGTAAACAAGGCAAAGCTCAGCAGAGTGTATTGTCCAAACTGGGCCAGTGTCACAGGGACAAATGGGTGCCCAGTAGCTGGAGAAGCAGGAAAGAAAAGTCCAGGTTCTGGCCTGTGGGATACCAACTGAGGAACAAGGATATTCTCAATTCTGCTTCATGGTGAAAGAAATTCCAGCTATTCACTGGAAGGGAAACACCCCCTTTAATAGTATCGCTGACATTTCTCGTTAATAGACCTAGGATCACAAAGAACTGTATTCTCTCTTCTGTCGATCCCTTGACCCTTCCTCCCTCGAAACATAACTTAAGAGTCGATGAGTCAGTCCCAGCAGAGACAATTACGCTCAAAAAGGCAGCCTGCTTACACCTTTTAGCCAGCAGTTGTCTGCAATGGCATCTTCGCAAACACATCAGCAACAAAGCGCAGGCTGGGTGTGCACCAGGAGACCTTTCTAGGACTTCAAGCTGCGATGCATGCTTGTTTAACTATCCCTTGACTATTAATTAATGTGCCCCCGTTCTTCTCTGCCACAGTTACCTGAGTAGCCTCTTCAGGATCCTCTTGATCAGGACTGAGCCTTTCCAAGGGACTATTCAATGCAGGTCTGATGCTCTCTGATCGCTGAAAGCGCAAACGGAACAGAGTGAATTGATGCAAAAATGAAACAAAAGCCCCACTACTAAAAAAGATAGCAACTTTAAAAACTGGTCCAACTATACATTATCTGGATTAGGTAAGATATCGATAAGTAAAATAAAAGTTTTATCAAGGATACTTTTCATTATGACTGCACCTCTAAAAGTAAGTGATTCCACATTACAAAAAATATGTTTAATAAATCCATTTGGAATAAAAAGAAGCCTAGAATACATAAGCAAGTAACACAGTCTTACTGCACTTTCCTATTGGTTCAATCAAGAAGCTATGAGAGACTGAACAGATTGGCTTACCATGTTCATTAAGTAGTTAGATTTCACTGGAAAGAAGGGATTAATTTGAGCAAGAATTAAATGCACTTTGATCTACACTATCAAAAACTTGGGATAAATTCCAAATTATATTAGAACTATGTAAAAATTCAGCATCGTTAATGTTGGAGATGAAAGCAGCAATGCAGTCACTGAAGTGGTTGGTACCAAAAGCGCACTGTCCATAAGCAAGTGCAGACTGGAAGTTTTGGGTACACTGCACATTATGTTTGACGCACCTGTGTTGGGAAAGGCACCTGGATACGGCCCTCTAAAATGTTGTCGGTGGTTATTTCAACAGACCGAGTCAGCTGCAGATCCTGCAGGATGAGGTGGTAAGGAACCTGAGGAAACATCTCCTGGATCTGATGTGCCTAGAAAAAGCAATGTTAATACCATTTGGCAGGGCTCTTTTTGTAGAAAAAGCCCAGCAGGAACTCATTAGCATAATAGGCCACACCCAACAGCAGGAACTCATTAGCATATTGGGCCACACCCCTGACAGCACAGCACAATAGGCCACACCCATATGTTACCAGAAGTGTGGTTATCCAGCCACACCCACCTTTGTCTTGTTATTCTGTTTACCTTGTTTGTTGTCAAAACCCAGGGCCTTTTTTTGTAGCAGGCCCTCCTTTGCATGCTAGGCCACACACCCCTAATGTAGCCAATCCTAATGAGTTTCTGCTGTTGGCCTGCCCAAAAATAGCCCTGCCATTTGGGACCTGAGCATGGCACATTAAAACTCCTCATCAGCATTTTTTTTGTAAGTAGCCATACCCTGAATCCCCAAATGCTCTGGCTTTCACCACTACAGCACAAAACATCTCTACCTGCAGACTCCCAGCAAACATTAATAGCAAGGTAAAAGCAGCAACAAGAGACGAATAAGAGGAGAGCTCCTTGACTTTCAGGCCACCAACTCCTCCCTTCAGGCCTCAAAATGGAGCATGCAGAGGGTGAATGTTTCCATGGCTAACCATGATTACTAGTCAGCTCCACTTCTTTCCTCCACAAGCAGTTGCCATGCGTTTTGAAAAAGGTGGGCCTTTACTGCAAGGTTTCTGTATTACGTGCCTTCCAACTACCTTCCAGATCCTTATTAAATATACATAACTTTGACTGCCCTCATTCATTCCTTGCTATAGTTACTTAGTCTTTTCCGTTCGTCTCTGTGCCTTCTAACCACTGTTGAAGTTTAGATCCTTGAAAAGAGCACTATCGGTGTTGCTGCCACTGCTACAGTTTTCCTCCCAAGCACAGGGACAGAACTCTGCAAATAAATAATAACCCAGAAGTATACAGCTGGACTTACCATAGCATTGAGCTGGGAGTTGCTTGCCTGTGCGATACCAAGGATATTGGTGGTATGCATCACCTCCACTGAAAAGCTGGGTAGCCAGCTAGCTATACGGGAGCCTGCAAGAAAGAAACCATTAAACATGCCTTTTGAGTAAATAATTCAGGTTTCACTTACAGTCATGTACATTTTAACAAAGTAGACCCCACCATAAGGGGCACAGAAGCAAACTAAAATGTACCCCACTTGCTGGAACTACTAGTGATTAAGGTATGATCGGGATGGGCAACATAAGAACTGTTCACAGATGGAAATGATGAAGTGTCAAAAGAAGAAAAGAACTGTTGCTTTATCAAAGGAAAACATAGAAATCTAATGTATCAGACAGGCTACATAATCCTGGCCATGGAAACTGAAATTCTGCAAGAATACAGACTATGCCGCTGGGAGCAGAAACCAGATCCCTCAGCTAACGTAAGAGCATTCACTGTTATTCAGCGTATCTACAAAAGCAACCACAAACAGGCTCAGCATTCTCATGAAGTGTGTCACTCCCAATCAGCACAAATACAGGCCAATGGTATATAAAGTAATTATCACAGGTCTGTCTTCCTGTAGCCATGTACATCGATTCCATTGATACTAACATATGTGGCCACTGGATCTAAGTTACAATTATGGCAAATAATCTAATAAGACATGCAAAGGCTCAGGTGATGTTCTTGCAGGTGCTATTACTACATTATTCAATACTAATTCCCCCCTCTTTTTTACATAATATCCCTCAAATATGAACAAAATCTGCTTTAGAAGATCTGCCCCTCCAACCATTACTACATTATTCAATACTAATTCCCCCCTCTTTTATACATAATATCCCTCAAATATGAACAAAATCTGCTTTAGAAGATCTGCCCCTCCAACCATTGTCATTGTTTAAACCATACTTTTCTCCCCTGTCTATATGGGGGTGAAGCACCATTCTGAGACTGTATTTTTAAGGATGTCTCACACTTGGGCAAAGGATAAGATCCTGGAAGCTCCATACTCTTCTTCACATAAACAGGATGCTCCATACATGACCTTCGCTCATCTGTTCTCTGAAGAGCGCTTCTGCTCTTTCCTGTTCTAACAGTTAACAGAACTGAACAACCAAACCTTTCTTAACTGAAATCAATGCTTCTTCAAAGGCGAGAAATTCCTTTAAGGACCCCTAAGTAGTAATGCTAGTCAATGCCCCTTTTAGCGGAAAATACCGATATAACAGCAGGTTTTGTGGACATCTCATTTATAAAAGAGGCAACTGTTTAGCTATTATGGGCTCCAAAAAGTGTGTGGGTAACACCTCAGACACCGGAGGATGGGTGAATACGATGTCCTAGTCTCATGGCAGGATTACAGATGGGGCTTCAATACCCAGGACAGCTCCCTGCCATTCCCTAAAAATGACAAAACTGGACTATGAAAAGTGCACAGTACATCTTGCCAACACACAACTGGGCCCGTTCAGAAAATCTAAGCAATTTAAAACAACAGCAACAACACACATACACGTGTGTGTGTGTGTGTGTGTGTACGCATTAATCAACATGCACTAATGGTCAGGAAGCTGCTAGTTTGAGGAGACCTACTTAAGTGTAGGAGGCAGCACATGCAGACTTCTCTTAGAAAAAGTGAGGGGATAATTTAAAGCAAGTTGACACAGCTGTCAAATGCTTTTTCTGACAAACCTCCAGGAGAACATCCTCATGCTGAAAGCTGGCTGCAAGGTTTATCTCTGTTGCACGTTAGCAGTTAAGCTGCACCTGAAGTTCTGCCTCATCACCATGTCACACAGAACAGAACGCTAACCCGTCTGGTGCAGGAAAACCCCCAACAAACTGGCATTTTTAAACAAAACACAAGAAGTGCCTGTTGCTAACTCCAGAAAGAAAGCTTGTCAACACAGGACCATTCGCCTGTCACTAAATGGTTTTAGTCAAGAAAACTGGCAAAAGGCAAAAAAGCCAACCGTCGAAGTGGAAGAAGTGATTATGCTGATTCAAGTGAGGTCTGCCTTCTGCCACTGCCACAGGAGCCAAATTTTCATCCAGGTTCTCTCTTTGGTGGTCCTCCCTGGCACGATGGTTATCGGTGATATTCAGAGACATTCTGCAGGTGGGGCAGGAAGTGTCTTGTTCTAACCAGGAGCGCAGACAGGAGCTGACAAACAGGGAAGGTGAAGTGAGCCTCTTAAACAAGAATGACAAAGTGCTCATCAGAAACTCAGCAGATTGTACAAGACATGCTTATTTCGATGTTTTCATCCTACTTTTCAAGTAAAGAAAACAATACAAAAGCAGCTAACAATAGAGAGCTACCCTACACCAATTAAAGCAGCAAGTTAAAACAAGTTTAACCGTAGCAGACATATTGATTTAAAAACATATCAGATGTTAAAATCAGCCAGGCCATGACATTCAGTAGGGCTCTAAAGACTTCCTAAATAGCCAGGTCTTTACTGCTCATCTAAATGAGAGCAGTGTTGGGAATGACTCGATTTATTGAGCAGGGCATTCACCACAGAAGAAGCCTGCCACCCACCATCAGTTTACTGCACCCAGAAGGTAAAGACAGCACTGAGCAAGTCCCCCCCACCCCACCCCACCCGGTATTGATTTAAGAGGCTGGAGAGAGACATATATCATAGGAGACAATCCCTGAGATGACATAGACCCAGACTGTTTGGGGATTTAAAGGTCAACTGGGCCCAGAAAGAATAAGCAACCATTGCAGTTGACACCACACTGGACTCATATGCCACTAGGAACTGTTCTAGCAATATTTTATCATCTTCATGTAACTGCTGAGAAGATGGGGAAAGGACCTATCCAAAAGTCACCCACAGTAAAATTTAAACATGAAGAAATTTCCCCACCCCAAAGGTACCATAAGAACATAAGAGACGCCAATGTTGGATCAGGCCAAAGGCCCATCCAGTCCAACACTCTGTCACACAGTGGCCAAAAATACCAGGTGCCATCAGGAGGTCCACCAGTGGGACCAGGGCATTAGAAGCCCTCCTACTGTTGACCCCCCACAAGCACCAAGAATACAGAGCATCACTTGCCTCAGAGTCCCTACCTATACCTTGTGGCTAATAGCCACTGATGGACCTCTGCTCCATATGCTTATCTAATTCCCTTTTGAAGCCGTCCATGCTTGTAGCCGCCACCACTTACTGTGGCAGTGAATTCCATGTGTTAATCATTCTTTGGGTGAAGAAGTACTTCCTTTTATCCGTTCTAACCTGACCGCTCAGCAATTTCATTGAGTGCCCACGAGTTCTTATATTGTGAGAAAGGGAGAAAAGTACCTCTTTCTCTACCTGCTCTATCCCATGCATAATCTTATAAACCTCAATCATGTCACCCCTCAGTCGTCATTTCTCCAAGCTAAAGAGCGCTTTAACTTTTCCTCATAGGGAGTGTTCCAACCCTTTTATCATTCGAGTTGCCCTTTTTTGCACTTTTTCCAAAGCTATAACATCCTTTTTAAGGTGTGGTGACCAGAACTGCACACAGTATTCCAAATGAGGTCGCACCATTGATTTATATAGGGGCATTATGATATTGGCTGATCTGTTTTCAATACCCTTCCTAATAATCCCCAGCATAGCATTAGCCTTTTTTATTGCAGTCACACACTGTCTCGACATTTTCGGTGAGGTATCTACTACAACTCCAAGATCTCTCTCCATTTATCATTTATCAATCTACCACAATCCAGTCTAGTCAAATGTACCACAAGCACGAAGCAAGAACCTAGTTTTAAACAACCTCCCCTAAAATTTAATTTTCTAAATATTTCAACCCTAGCACCAACCCATTTTTATTATTCATTCATAAAAATATTCTACACAATAGAGCTTTTATGGTAGATTCTGGAATGTAGAAAACAACTTTGTTTCCATATGTATTTTTTAACCCTGGTGTTATAACTTAAGACAATCATTCACTCTTGTTCTTCCTCTTCTACCCCTTTCTGCCCCCCAACCCTTCCCCCTTTCCTCCCTTTTCCCACCTTACCTACAACTCCCTCTTCCTTGCAACTCTTCCTTACAACTCTCCCTCTTATAATAAAATATCCTTAAGCAGGTGTAGCCAAAATAAAACAGTTAATACAGTTAATATTCAAATGCTAAAATACAGGACTCAAAGAGGACCTTCAGTCTAAAACTTAACGTAAATTCTATTTCTCTAGTTCCTGTTTCTATAATTAATTTAAATTAAACCCCATGATTAAATATCCTCAAATAGTTAAAATAATAGTTAAAAGAAAATAAAACAACTGGAAACAGTCACAAGTAGTTAAGAAAATAAAACTACTGGAAACAACTAAATTTAAATTATGGGAAGATAAAATTGATAAAATTATATGTGTTAAAAGGAGTAAAAATGAAAGCTTTAAAAGTTAATGTTAAATGGGATACAGCTCAACCTTAAATTGGGTTAATGTATTAATCCTATCTAATCCTAATTATGCATTAAAATAAAATCTCAGGCAACAAAACTGCCCTTCTCAAGGTCAGCATTATCAAAGCAGAAAAACAGAAGAAAAAAATAGTTTCTGCATCAGCCTTCCAAAATTAGCCATTCTAAGATGGAATCACAGAGACCACATAAGTTGCAGGCACCTTCTTCAAGACAGATACCAGACTGACCCCCAATTCTACACTCTAGTAAGCTGCCACCTAGGAATTTTATTTTTAAGACTAGGAAGGGCAAGATACTTAAAAGGTAGACACTGGCACTTTAACATTACAGTAATTTTTCCAGTCCTGGATAAGTGCACAGATATTTCTGTTTGCTGGGTTCCTGGGCACTGTCTAAACTGAATGGAACCAGGCCTCTACTGGCAACTGCTAACTCTGAGGAAAATCATCACTGTGTAAAGGAAAACAAAGATACAGTGATATGCTCCAACCCAGTTATTAGCTGCAGACAAATGAGAGTACACAGCTTATTCTATCCGGCTTTTGCTTCCCAGGTGCATACTTATGGAACAGGTGCCCACACGGGAGTTTACGTGCAGACTGCATGGAATCCCAGCAAATGGCACAGTCGTCGTTGTTGGCTGCTAGTTCCTCTGGCGTTGCCACTGCAAATCTACAATAGGAAAACAAAAGAACAGTCTGCCAACTCTTGCCCACATGCACACAGTCCAGCTAGATATGAACAAAGATTTCCCACCAAAACTCTACTTAGCGGATGCCATAGTGGATGCCATCTGAACTTAAATGCCTCCTTTTCACTCTTAAGAGGCTGGCAGCTGAAACACTATCAAGTATTTACTGTATTTACACTGGAATTATACTTGGAACTGGGATACTGGCTTAAAGTGGTTGGTTCAGTCAAGCACTGAACCAAGAGGTCTTGGAAAAGTCACCCAAGGCCAATTTACTATTTAGGAAAGCCTTCATTTCCACGAACAAGGTACGATTTCAATCTCTATGAGGAGTGGGCCAGAACCTCTTCTGGAAATTCCTTTATTCTGACTGTTATTCAGATGCATATATTGCCTTTCATTATTTTGTCCCTGGGGCTCTGGGCAAAAAAATCTGCTTATACTCAACAAACCCCTTTATCCACCCTTATTCTTACCCTTACAGGTAGGAAACTGTAGTGGAGTACTAGAAATCTAGCCTGCAAAAAGGAGAGCTACTGTGGCTAACCTAAAGATTTTAGCTATAGGAAATGGGTTGATCAATGGCTGACAGGAGGTGTGTGTAACATTGTAGACTATGGAAGAGAACAGCAGGATAAGGAACAGGCCGAGAAGAAGGAAATGAGACAGTAGTAAGGAGCAGGGGGAGGTGGATGGTGAACAGTAGAGGTCAACAAGGCTAAAAGATGGAAGGTATAGAGGACATCAGCAATCAGACAGGAGAACAAATATAAGAATCTTTTCTCTTATTTTACCTTTCAGTAAAGTCAGGTGACAGCAATTTCTGCTTTGTAAATGTGTGTGCATCACTAATCAAAAAATGAAACTGCCTGGAGGTATTTAATTTTTAAAGCTCACTCTTTTTCCAAAAGTAGAAGATCAAATGTTTCTTGGAGGAGGGAAGGCATCTAAAGAAACACTCACTATCCTCTATTATCATTAATATTACCAATATATCTAAATATCAACATGGCAAAATCTGTGGCAACTTAAATCCAGACAAGACAGATCTTTCTACAAAACTAAGAAAAGCCCCAGGTTTTCTTCTAAGGGAAGAAAAAATATATATCAGAGGCTTAAAAACCCAAAATTACAGAAGCAGTGCCTGTATCTTTAAGAAAAAAGGGTCACTGGAGTGGCCACTGTGACGGTTGCTAGACAACCGCAACAATATTGCCAACCTTTAAGCCTTGCTTTCTGCCTATAAAATGTGGGGGAAGGGAAAAGCCCTTTCCAGGGCTGCTTTGGCCTTTGAGGAAGGATTCATCGGGGCCGGGCCAGGGAGCAATCACTGGGCAACTTGATTTCACAAGGATTGCATGGCTCCCCCAGGAATGGCTGCTTCCTACTGTTCAACAGCAGACACTCCACAAAAGTCAGTGTAGTGTAGTGTAGTGGTTAGAGTTTTAGACTAGGATCTAGGAGAGTCAGGTAGCAATCCTAAGCAGTTCTACTCAGAATTCAGATCAATTTTATTCAGTGGGATTTACTCCTGGGAAAATGTTCTTACAACTGCAGCCTCAGGCTCAATCCCCATTTTGCCATGGATGCTTGGTGGGTAACCTTGAGCCAGTCACATATTCTCAGCCTAATTTAACTCACAGGGTTATTGGGAGGATAAAATGTAGAGAATAATGTAAGCTGATCTGGGTCCCCATTGTCAAGAAAGGCGGGGTATAAATAAATAATAAATATAACCAAAATTGAGGAGGGAGATAAAAAAATAGATTGGTGGGTGGGTGGGAAAGAGAAGGAAGCAGGAAAAGGTGAGTATATGGGGTGCCAGGAGGAAGAAATTAGAAAACAGTGTGGGGAAAGGGTATTAGGGAAAATGACACCTCCCCCCCAAAAAAAAATGTCATGGCAGGTTTGCCAACACACAACTGAGCCCAGCCTAGTGGCTGGCACGGCACACCTTGACCACAGTTTCCCGAGATAGAGGCTACCAAGGGGAGGAAAGGAGGGAAAGCTGAAGGCAGGTAGCAGATAGAGGTAGGTTGCTGATTGATGGGAAGAAGAGAAGGAAGCGGGAAAATGGGAGAAGCTGGGGGGCTTTCAGGGATGGGAAAGTGGTAGAGGGAAAAATGAGATGCCTCCCCATAGTGCTTGCGGGTCCCCCACCTGTTTATTTCTATTTACATGCCACTTTTTTTAACGATAAAAAGTAGCTGGATATCTGGATCAGCAAGTTTTGTTTCTTGGGGCTAGTTCAATTATGTAACTAGCATTAGGCAAGATTTTTTTTAAGCCTGTAAATCAGGACTCCGCCCACAATCATTATCCAACAGTCAATCCACTTGTTCACCTTGCCTCCATGTTCCCAACCACACGGAGATAGTTCTTGTGGCGACGAAGTCTACGCTGAACCTCATGGAACAGGTAACGCAGCTGCATAAAGATCACCAGGCTGGCCATCGACAACCAGATATTGCCAAACAGCTTGAAGAGAAGGACAGGAGAGCACATCATCTTCAGCTACGGTGGATCATGTCCCCACATTCCTTACCCAAACTGCAAAGTAGACGTTCCCTTATGGAACAAGCACGTCTCACTTGGAGGCTGCGAGGAAAACCAGTGTTCTGAAAGCTGCAAGCAAGGCACTCTCCTTTCCACGCTTCACAGAAACGAGGGGAAATTCCATACAAAGCAGCTTCCCAAAGGTGGCTCTGGGCTTCCAAGCAAGAGTGCTTTCTTTTCCTTCCCAGCACAAAACTAACAGCAGAAAAGCCCAACCCACAGGCTGCTTGTGTGGGTGGGGGGAGCCTTATCTGCATTACAATGTGCAAAGAGGCCTGCTTCATTCATGTTGGGGGGGGCAGGATGAAGAACATGGAGGTGTAAAGTGGGAATGCCGCTACAGACTGTGGGCTAGGGAGGGCAGAAAGGAGACTCAGGTGAATGGGGTAATAAATCCCTAAAATGTATTTGCAAGTCTTAGGTGGGTAAAAATAATTAATAAGGGAAAGAAGTGGTTTCTTGTTTCAGACTGGGGTTAAAGGTGAGCTTTGGGTCCATCCACCTCTTAGAGTATCATGTGTCTGGCTAAGTGTGTGGACTCTAATCCGGGAGACCTGGGTTTGATTCCCCACTCCTCCCCTTGCACCTGCTGGATGACCTTGGGCAAGCCATAGTTCTGGCCCAGCTGTTCTTGACAAAGAGCAGTTTCTGTCAGCGCTCTCTCAGCCCCACCTACCTCACCCAGTGTTCCCTCTAAGCTGCGTTAGTGTGAGCTAGCTCAGTTTTTTGGCCTCCAGCTCACAGATTTTTGTCTAAGCTCAGGAAGGATGGCTCCAGAGCAAACTAATTTATGCAGCAGCCAAATCACTCGCTCACAGTTTTAATGCCAGTAGCTCACAAAGTAGAATTTCTGCCCACAAGACTCCACGGCTTAGAGGGAACATTGCTCACAGGGTGTCTGTTGTGGGGAGGGAGAAGGAAAGGAGTTTATAAGCCGTTCTGAGACCCCCTTGGGTAGTGAAGGGCCATGGGGTATAAATCCAATCTCTTCTCTTCTTTTGGGCATCAAGACTTCTCTAACTTTCACAATCTATGTAGGGGGGCAGCGAACACATTTGTTGTTGCACTGCTACGAAAGTGAATAATGATAAAGCACTGGAACAGTGAACGGACCTGGAGTATTATTAAAATGTCCTTTCTGCCAGATCTACAGGGCAGCAGAATGTCATCTTAAAAACTGAAACAAGAAACACCTTGAAAGAACGTAAAGATCCTGCTACTTGCCTACGCCCCAGAGGACAAAAAAGTCTCTCATAAATTTCTGTTTGACATTACTCAAGTGCTTGTCAGTGTAACTGTCTTTTGTAATAAGTAATTAAGGCATCTGTAGCACTGTAACAAAGTATTTCTCATTTCAGAGGGTAGGCAAGTTATTCTGCAGTAGAATAGCCAGATTCAAGAATGTACCTAAAATATTTCTAGGGAGCCTCACATTGTGATGCAGTGAAGGACCATGTGCTTATGGGGTAAATATGCCAAAGCACTGCTTGCCAGTTTTTGCCAAAGTAGGCTTCAATGCCAAAATGCTTAGCTTCGAGAGCAGCTTGTCCCTCTTCTGCAGTGGGAACTACTAAGGCAAACACAGCAAGCAAAGATTCCCTTCCAAATGCTCCCACCCTTCAATTATGGGAAATGTACTAGACAGCAACACAGTGAACTGTGACTCTTCTACACAAGCCAATGCTGTTCTAGTCAACCTATGAGGTACAGGAGCCTGCAAAGTTAAAGCTGCATACCAGCATGTGAATGTGATGCATCAGATCCAGTGACAGAAGAGTTAACTCCATGATGAAATCGGTGTAATAAACATAGGTTCCTTTGCTTTCCCACGTGCCTTCATGGTTGAGATCCCAAAGATGAATGACATAACTAAGGGAAGAGGAGAAGAGAGCCATGTGTCACTGGAATAGCATTTTGCCAGTTTTACAAATAATAATGACAACAAGCTATTCCTAACACACTTCAGTACACATCTGTTCACCTGACTTCTATTACCAATTCTACATCAGTAGAAAAAAGCAAGAGTCCAGTAGCACCCTTAAGACTAACAAAATTTGTGTCAGGTATCAGTAATTCTACATCAGGTTATCTAAAACCCAGCATTTAATTACTTGAAACAATTTAGCCCATTTTTCTCACTGTACAGACCCCCCACAGACTTAAAAAACAACAGCAACAACAAAATTAACACAATAGATCTCAACAGAGCCAAACATACAGCATTAGGGAAAACACAGGCCCCTAGCAACCATCAGACCCACTAGTCACCCTCAAAGCCACTCTTGTAGAGCTCCACTTAGCACATGAAGCTGCCTTATACTGACTCAGAACATCAGTCCATCAAGATCAGTATTGTCTACTCAGACTGGAAGCAGCTTCCCAGGGTCTCAGGCAGAGGTCTTTCACATCACCTGCAACCTGATCCTTGTTAACTGCAGGTGCCAGGGACTGAACCTGGGACCTTCTGCATGCCAAGCAGATGCAGATGCTCTACAGTGAGCCAGGCTCCTCCCCGCATAACTTGCTGAAGGGCAAGAGGGAAAAAGTCCTCCTAGTTAATTCATGGAGGCCATCCTTTAATGCCAAGGCTGCTGTAGAGAAACTCCATGAGTGAGCACAGAAGATGTCACCTGCCTGCATGACAGAATGGTTCTGCTAGAATGCAAGCGAGAGATCCATCTCTCAAAAGCTCCAGGGCTTTGGTCCACACACCTTGCCCCTTAATCTAAGCTTTCCAGCTGTAAAAACCTGCATTTCTCTAGACACTTTCTTCCCAGGAAAGGCAAATCAAGTAAGGCTATAGATGGCATGCCTTGGGTCCAGTCGCAGGGCCTTTCCACTCAGCTTGCCTCCCTGCCAGGGATGGACTGTGAGGAAAAAAAGGGCCCCCGAAAAGGACCCCGTCTCCATCCCACCTCTGTCCAGCCCCCCTCCCAAAAGGAGAGCACCTCTTTCCCCACACCAAGCACCAGGTTTCAACTTACCGTAAAATCACATGAACAGTTCTCACAGTAACAAGCAGAGACTATATAAGGGAATAAAACAAAAACAAAAGAAAGAGGGAACTCTTAGAAGATATTTGAAACTTGTCTTAGAGATAGAGATTTTTTTAAAAAACTGTTTTCCCAAACTGGGGAGACCCAATACAGCAGGCAGGCTCTCTAGAGAGGCAGCAGAGAAAGCAAGCAAACAAAAATGCTTCTTACATTTGAGTCCTTTTACTATACTTCTTAGTACTCAAATACCTGTGTTTCCTATTGCTTTCTAATTTTCTATATATTCAGTGTTTTGAAAATGAATGAACAAAAATGTATTTATGAAAATGTATGAATATGTTGAACCATTGTTATACTACAGAGAAAATATCTGTTGGTGTATCCCACATTGCAATGCTATTAAATGATTACTTTCGGAAAAGCCAGTCCTACAACCTGACCAGATCCACACTCGTCTACTTCACCTGCTTCTCTGCTTCCTACGACTACATTGCCTTATGAACTGGCTTGTGACAGGATATAGGAGAGAGAAAGGGAGAAAGGCAAAAGCACAAGAAAGCTGGTGGGAGAGGCTCAGAGAGTTAAATGCGGCTCATGGGCCACTTGCTGATGAGTAAAGATTGAAAATATCGTTGGCTGAGACTTGATCAAGGAACTGAAATTGCGTTTCTAATGATGTTAAAAGTGGGAAGACCTGCAAGCACTTTGGAGGAAAGGGACGTCATGCAAAATCAACTCTGATCTAGAAGGTCTCTAGTTCAAATCTTGACTCTGCTGCAAACTCCCTAGATGGCCTTCAAAAAGCCACTCTTTCTGACCCTTGGCCCCTGCCACCCACAATATCAGGGCAATGGTACTGGCCTACTGTGCAAGTCAGCTGCAAAAGTAACAAGCTAATATATAGGGAAACACTATGAACAGTGAAAACCCATATAAGTGGTAATGATTATTATAAATCAAAATTAAAAACAGAAAATATAAAAATGCACAAAATTAATCTGGAAGTATCACTCATAAGTAACGGGCATCCTTTTCAATTTATTGCTAAAAACTGGTTACTTTAATCAACTATTCACACATTGTGCTAAGTACACACACAGCTCTGGGACAGAAAATTTTCCAGTGCTTAATTTTTCTGTAGAAAAATTTCCATTTCTAAATATTGTTTCATAAAGCTAACAATAATGAACTAATGTCACTGCCAATACAACATCAGGCAAGCTTGGCAGTTTCAAGTCTATAATTAACATTTTTTCAGGTGATTATCCCTAAGCAAATGTATGAGAAAGTATCAGTTATGTTCTATTGATTTGCCATGGGGGGGGGAGAGACAACAAATACATAATACAATCCAACCCTCCCCCCCAAAACCACAAAGCCAGAATTCTTGTTTGATCTCGGATTATAACTGAAACCAAGCCATTAAATAATTGTTTGCATAAGATCTATTTCATTTTTAGTGGTTTGGGTAACTGTGAAGTAGTCAATGGTACACAGCATCATTATAGTGAAATCGTTTAAGAGAGTGGTGGATTCATGGTAATCACTGCAGGCAGGAGTATGGCAACAACATGACAAAAATGAACAAACATGTAACAACAAAGGGCAACTTTAAACAAAGGCTGTGGTCACACTCTGTAGCATTAGCCACGCTACAGAGACGGAAGATAGGCGGATTTTCCGGGCGTGATCACAGCGCCACATCTGGGAAGCGTAGAGCTCCCATGGCGAACCAGAGGCTTCCCGTCAAAGATGCGGGGTAAAAAACTAGTACCTCCGAGGTACTGGTTTCCTGAAACCGCGGGGCAAGGGTGGGCACCTGATCGCGTTTCCGGTGGTAGGTCATGGCATCCGGCGCCCGCCCATGTCCCATCGCTAAAAGGTGTTTTTTTCCAAGTCTCCACGGGATGTGCACAAGCACTCAACGGCGCATGCGCACACTTCGTTTAAAAACAAACATCACAGCCACCTCCTCTTTTCCATACCCCCCCTTCCTGGCTTGGCCTGCTCGAGAGGAACTCTCTGCACCAGGCGGCAGAGGGGGAGGTGCAGGGGGTGTGTGGCGGGAGGGCAGCCTGACTGAAGCTCCTCCTGGAGGGGACCGGACAGAGGACACAGTTTGCATTCCTCTGCAGCCCTGGAAGGGGTTAAACCTGCGGAGCCTTTTGCTAGAGAGGCCGCTCCTTTGCCGCGCTGCAGGATTGTCCTGTGATCGGCACCTCCCCCCTAACCACGGGACCTCGACGGGACCTCTACAGGACAGCGCAGCCGCGTGTTATTTTGCTCCGGGGCAAACAGCCACGCTTCCCCCCCAGCATTTTCCTGCCCGTGTGACCGGGGCCAAAGTAAGGGAAGTACTGGATTAACTTGAAAGGAAGACAACATTATTCACCCCTTTTGGCTTTCTTAAAAAAGGGGGGGGGGGTTATCTTACAAATCCGCTGAGTGTGAGAGATGATTCACTGTGCACAAGAGGAGAGCTATGGAGAAAAAGAACCATCTCATTCACTAGCAGAGAGGAGTGGCAGTGAAAGTGATGCTGAGTTCGGCTAATGCTGCTTTTCAAGCCGCTTTGCATTTCAAGGGGCGAGAGGAGTCAGGTGGACCTGCTGGCTAGCTTTAGAAACTGCAACTTCTTACCTGGCAAATGGTGGCTTTGCTGCCCTAGCACTGACCCATGTTTCTGGTTCAAAATAGTACTCTACACCAGCTTTTGCTTCTTCCCCTGTGCTTCAAGGCCAGAGTTGGTGAGCCGTTTGGCTCTCCCCTCCCCTCAGGAGTGGAGAAACACAAAAAAACTGCTGGGTTTTAAAGCAATTTAGCACAACATACACTATAGCTGTTGTGAGTTTGTGGACATTTTAGACAGGGAAGAATAAGGCAAGAAGTTAACTTTAAACAGCTGATTTGGAGATATAACACCTTCTATTGGAGAAGTATGACTTCCTAGCCTACAAAAGCATTGTGAAGGGGGGGGGCAGTTTAACAGTACTTTCAAAAGGCTCTTGTCTTTTGTCTTTTAAAATTTGAAATAGTATGATCCAATACTACCTGTAAACAATTACAACACAAAGAGGCCCAAAACATGAAAGTTATCACTTTCTTCTGTAGTCTATATTGTTTATTGTGTACTGATTAAAACTTTGTTTATACTGCAATCTTTTTTTGTAGAAGTCATTTTAAATTCAGGGTCATCTATTCTTATGTACAGCCTTTTTTAGGGGGTGTCATCTTACATTCAGGGTCATTTTCCTTATATGTTAATACAGCACATGCTATACTGTCCTTACATTTTTATTGTTACTATTATTCAAATAAAAATTGTTTCCACATTAAACTTTGCATTTTAATGTAACATCTAAACCATACCTGATTTTTCCCCCACTCAGATATTCAGCTCACATATTTATTGAGACATAAATCAACATGGTTTATTTTAAAATGTTTAAAGATAAGACAAAATAAACATGATGAATCAGATCACATAGTATTCAGGGCACTGGAATGTTTTCTAGTTCGAGGGGTATGTGAAGGGGGAGACATACATCACTTTGTATATACAACAGAACGTTAACTCCTCACAGTTGCTGCTGCTTCCAGTGAAGGTGATTTACAATCTGTAGCACAATATTGCAAAAATCCCAATTTTTCTACAATAGGAAAATAATTTCTGATATATCCTGGCTAAATATTTTCAAAAATCAATACACAGAATGCTGTACAAATAAAGGAAGGCCAACCAAAAGACTGCATGAGCACCTTTTAATTGGAATACTCACCTCAGCTGCCATGAAAGATAATGTATGCATTCCATGGGTATAGCCAATAACGCCACACACGACTGCCAATCCACAGCAGGAAAGCAGCATAGCTACCAGCAGGGTCAGGACTCTGATGTGACTGTTCATTGGTGTAGTGGGAGAAAAAGAGAGCTGCAATATAAAAAATAAAGGGGGGGGGTAAGAAATGCACTTGCTGACTTTGAATATCAGACTATCAACTGGGCCAACTCAATGAGTATACCTAGGGCACAATTCCATGGCTTTTGGTCACAGAGATTAGCTACTTCAAGCACACTGGATCCCTTCAAGTGCAGGATCCTTCCATTTGGTTTCATCACTGGCTTATGTACATAACAAAACCAGCAGAAACTGTGTAATCTGACTTCCTGCACAGGGATGTTCCTATCTGCAAAGCACTTCCTTATTCCTGATACAATGTCGAAGTTCCATAACAGAAGCATGAGAAACAGGGAGCCAGCATGGTATAGCTCTTAGATCACTGAACTATGATCTGCAAGACATGGACTTGAAGCCCCACTTGTGGTTGTGAGGATAAAATGGAGGAAGGAAGAAGTGGCTTTGGGTTGCAACATGTAAATATCTTAAATAAATAAACAATGTGGAGCTCAAGTGAAAACTGAATGGGAGAACAAAAAGTGTGACGGGAGGGCCCAGGTTCCGAGTACAGCCTCCTCGTCTGCAGGTGCTATTTTTTTTCACCCCCAATAAACCAATCAGTAATTAAACCTAACCTGCATGCCCTTTTCTACCTCCACTGTTCATGCGAAGAGGTCCCAGTTTTTAATCAACTTCAAGTAAAATGACTGCAGACAACGTATTGTACTCTATCAGTTACTCCTTGATAAGAATGCAGACACTCCTTCCTAAAGGACATATATTTCCACCCAGCTCTAAGTGAACATCAAAAAAACTTACATATTCAAACCTGTCCTTGCAAAGCTGAACCATGAGGTGGAGAAACACAAGCCCAGAGAACCAAAGGCACCACATGACCACTTCTTCCACTGTTTGGACATTTAACACGCCGAAAATAAAGATAAACTTGTAGAAGATGAAATTCCAAAACTTATCCTTGAGATGCTGGGGAAAAAAGGTATTTGGAGTTATAAAACAGAGAAACTTTCACAAATGCAGTTTGTGGAACACAGATGTAATTGATTTTACAATTATTGCGATTAACAATTTCCTGCACTTTCTAGATGAAGAATTTGCCACGTCTGTAGCTTTATCATCATGGAACCATTGATTATTTGAATATAAAAATTCTTTATCAAGCAAGTAACAAAAGTTTCTGCAGATTGTATCATAAATGGATAGTGGAATCTGAAACAGAAATCAGGAGTATATTGGCAATCCACCAGGAACACTGTCGATAGAAACTCACACCAGTATCTGAGTTCTTGTCTACCTTTCATTTACTCCTATATGAATTGTGCCCCTTGCTTTAAATAGGCATACCTGAAAGGCTCAATTAGACAGACTTTCTGCTTATGCCAGCCACAGAAAAACCCCCACAGATTTAAAAGACAGAGGCATTTCTAGGAGCACACACTGACATTTGGTGGATATGCGTCACTTATTCAAGATTTATTCTAAAATTAGAATCAGCCTTTAAAGACATCTTGATGCCTTTGAAAAATCTTTAGAACTTAAAATCCCACAAACGTTTTTGCTCCCTGTAGGTTACAATTATATTTTTCATCAAGATTATCACAGTAACTATGACAGCTAGCCTGAAAGCTTAAAAAGTACAAGTGGGCTTCTCCTAATTCTAAAAAAATGTTTTGAGGGCTTACACAAGCTTCAGGTGGATATATGCTAAAAAGTCAGGAATGAGTGAGAAATTGGGCATTAGTTGCAGTAATCAGGACAGGGGTGTTGATTTGGATGGGGGACATTCTAATTTGAGGTTTGCTAGTATCTTAGGACCCATTTTGAACTGCAGATGCCAATTCAAGGCTATATAAGCAGCTGGCTCCTAAAGGCTGCTATCACTCATTCTACTCAATTAGTCTTAATTAGTAAGTAGTTAGCTTTTGCTCTTAGAAGCATCCTTCCTAAGAGGGAACCATGAAACTCTGTAAACCATGGAGTTATGAAGGTACCTCCCTAAGCAAAGTTGACTATGGTATGAGATGAGATGCAAAGCATTCTCTGGCTGATCAGTTAACACCCAGAGTCATCTAAATTCATCAACACAGCAAGTCAGAGCAATAAACGAGGACTGCTAAGTAACAATGATTTTCAGCAGACCTGGAGGATATTCCTGTCTTGGTCAGTCTTTAGACTACAGAGATAACAGTGCTCCTTCCCACGGTCTACTGCATATTTTCCTTTGAAAGGCTAACAGCAAAGGGAGATGGTTTTGATCAGTGAAGAAGTGGAGGTTGAAGGATTAAATCTCATCTCATCTTTCCTGCACAGTCCTGAGAGAAACTGAAGCTGCAGAGGCATACAATTTGCTTTGGATAGACCAGAAATACTCAGTTCCTCAGGGACCACATCTGGCGCTTTAACATGCCACTTGTGGCTCTTCATAGCACCCTTCTCCAATATGGCACCCACCCCATGTTTCAGGAAAGTGGACAAGGCCATGGCATGATAGGTCTTGGGGCTGCCACCTTGAAACACTACAGAGGCTGAAGGACAGGTAAGCAAGTCTTCCTGCACTGTGGATCAGGAATGGAAATAAAGACCCATCCTCTCCAATACAACTCCTAACATTCTTCACAGGCTCCATGTTCTCATCCCAGAACCCGGGCAGCTGTAGGGACAGGAGAACG